CTGACTTCAGTTAAACTTTTAACTTTGTGGCACACAGAGAAGGCAATACAATGGTTTCCAGGCACCGTATGGCAGGGTTGCCAAGGTAACAGCAAAATTTCTATTGCAGGAAAAGGATTTAAATATATAGGAAAGATCACTAGATTTGGAGTCAGGAGAACTAGATTAGGGCACTAACTCTGTTATCTATCAGACTTTTAGAAAGTCAGTCACAACCTTTCCAAGCCTCAGTTTCCTCATCTGTAAAATGTGAGGATCAATGTGATGAATTATGAACTCTATGAGCACTATAGACATATGAAACATTCACATTCCCTTATCTTTTGGTAAGCTTTACATCAATCCATGGCCCATAGCCCACATGCAGCCCAGGAAGGCTTTAAATGTGGCCCAACACAAATTCAAAAACGTCTTAAAACATTATGAGTTTTTTTGCGAATTTTTTTTTTTTAGCTCATCAGCTACCATTAGTGTTAGTATATTTATATGTGGCCCAAGACAATTCTTCTTCCAGTGTGGCCCAGGGAAGCCAAAAGCCTGGATACCCCTGTTTTACATGGTTAACCCAAATGCACCAAAGATAGGTACTCACTCCTTATCTTGTAAGTTCATCCAAACTCAAGAAACATTTGGCAAAGGAACTCCTGCAATCAAGCACTTAATAGATGTTTCTTGATAAAATTATCAAAAGGAATGGGACATTACTTACCTGGACTAATCCTCAAAGGCAATCTCCTTGAATTTCATCAGAACAGTGGTCTTAGGTCCAGGGATGGTCAATTCAAATAATTCGAAAGGACAGTAGTTATGAGCATAGAATTGTAGAGCCAGATGACCTGGGTTCAAATTCCAGTTCTCCTATTCAGTAGCTGAATGACCTATGCCTCAGTTTCCCCATCTATGAAATGAGGATAATAGTACCAACCCCCAAAGGGTTATTACGAGGATTTAAAAAGTTTCAAAAGTACCTAGAACAGGAACCTGGACTGGAGTAAATACTATATAAGCGTTTAAAGAATAAGTTTACTGGGCATGGTGGCTCACACCTGTAATTCCAACACTTTGGGAGGCCCAGGTGGGTGGATCACATGAGGTCAGGAGTTCGAGACCAGCCTGGACAGCATGGTGAAACCTCGTCTCTGTGAAAAAATACAAAAATCAGCTGGTGTGGTGGCGGGCGCCTGTAGTCCCAGCTACTTGGGAGGCTGAGGCAGGAGAATCACTTGAACCCAGGAGGCAGAGGTTGCAGTGAGCCAAGATGGCACCACTGCACTCCAGCC